AGAGTGACCTGCTGGCGTTTCTGGTTAATTTTGCTCCTCCGGCCCCTGCAACACATTTGTGTTTCTTCAAAAAGCCATATCAAGGGGTAAAGAACAGCTCTGCCAACATGGAGCATGGTACAGCACTGTTCGTTCCTCCTGGGCAGAAACAGTGGGGCAGAATGTCATTTTCTATTGTCTTCCGCTGTATAGAAGGAAAGGTAAAAGGTGCTGTCTCACAAAAGCCACTCTAGCCGACCGCTGCTGCTCTGGATAACCGAAGCAGCCCCCTGCGGAAGCCATCTCTTCCAAGTATCCTTCCAAGTCAAGAGTATAGTTCACTGCTAGAGAGCCGATGAACTGTCATGGTTAACACGTTTGAGTAGGCCCAGGAGACCAAACTCCCGGAAGAATACGGGACGGAAGAACACACGACGTGAGCCACACGACGGTCACCTCGAGATTAGACTACTGTAATGCTCTTCACACGGGGCTGCCCTTGTCGCAAATCCAGAAGCTGCAGCTAGTGCAGAGTGCTGCGGCCAGGCTTTAGATGGGTCTCCTGAGATGGGAACACATCTGGCCTGTGCTGAAAGCGCTGCACTGGCTGCCAATAACATACCGAATGCGTTTCAAGGTGCTGGTTCTTACCTTTAAAGCCCTACATGGCCAGGGTCCGACATACTTGAGGGACCGCCTTTCCCCACACATACCCCAGAGAGCACTACGGTCAGGGGCACAACATCGTCTAGTGATTCCAGGCACCAAGGAGGCCAGGCCCACCACAACCAGGGCCAGGGCCTTTTTGGTGGCGGCTCCTAGCTGGTGGAATGAGCTCCCAGAGGAGATCAGGGCCCTGCGGGACCTTCTACAGTCCGCAGGGCCTGCAAGATGGAGCTCTTCCGCCAGGCTTTTAACTAGGAGCCGCCCACCACTACCACCATTACTGTCAGTAACATCGGGGCAGTAGATGGCCCTGTATGGAGATCGAGCCACAGCAATGCGGGAGACCGGATACCGTTGAATCGGGATCTAATGTTACATCTACAGTACGCCATCTTTATTTGACTGAATTTTAAATTTTAAATTTCTAAATCAATATCTGTATATGTTTTGTCATTCAATAAAAAATTTTTTTTAAAAAATCTTTATTTGACTGAAGGATTGATATCTTTCGAAAACTTTAATTGTAATATGGATGGTTTTATCTTGTTTTTATATGTTTCATATGCCCAGGCACATGTTGCCCCTGAATGTGAGCAGCCCGGAACCTGTTCGCGGGGGAGGGCGGGATAGAAATGTAATAATTAATAAATAAAATAAAACTCAAAGCCAGAGCAGAGACTCATGCAGAGAGGCAACGGGAAGACTAATCGGGGGCAGGCAACCCTGCTGCATGCCATTATCGCAAGCGACCAAATGATCCAGATCACTGCAAATCCGGAGGAATGTTAGAATAACCTCCCCTCCATGGCAAAGAACAGTGAATCATGCAGAAATTCAACAGGCAGCCTCATCTACAGCGAAACCTTTAAATTGTTTAATTGATGTATTACTTGCAGAAGACTAGGAGCTTTCTCTTGGCATACTGTCTGGAAACGCCCACCTTAAGCAACAACTGGGCTCGCGGGTATCAGCGGCAGCAACGCCTTGCGGATTTCCACCTCCCCAGACGATTTGTCAAGTTAAACGTTTGAGGCAGGGAAACAGGAATGATTGGAAATCCCCTTTCCTTTTGTCCCGGTTAACTGAAGACCCGACAGTTCTCTCCAATTAAAACTTAATGACTGTTCCCCCCCCCCTTGGTGATTGAGACGAGCTCATAAAAAGAGAGGGATTCTCTTTTTATCGGCGCGGTGCGTATCCTGCGGTTACTAGGAGATAACGCTCATTCCCCAAAGCCGGCGGGGCGGGTGAGGGGCAGAGTCGGCCACTGCTTCGACAGCTGCATGGAAGGAGGGGGGAGCAACGGATAAGGCGGGGACCTGAAAGGTTAATTGTTACCCCCCCCCTCACAAAGAGCAGTTATGGGCGCTGAACTGGCACCCGAAAGGTAGTATATCTCAGCTCACACAAGAGCGCCTGTGTTGCAGGGCCTTTCACATGCTAATAATCCTGCTCTCGTTCCAGAAAAACAGCTGGACTTGCTGGATTGGCACCCACAAGCCCCCCCCCCAATGCCTCAATATGGGCCCACCAGGCCGGGCAGCCATCACCCACCCAAAGCTGCACCCCACTAATGTTCTCAGATGTACCACGGTGCCATCGACCATCATTGTTGATATACCAATTTGGCATTATTGTTATTGGGTATGTAACCCAACTGTCGCGTTATTTTAAATAGCGAGTTACGTTATTTATTGTATTGTTGTAACCCTCCCTGAGAGCCAGTTTGGTGTAGTGGTTAAGAACGCAGACTCTAATCTGGGAGAACTGGGTTTGATTCCCCACTCCTCCACCTGCAGCTGCTGGTGCGACCTTGGGTCAGTCACAAGTTCTTTCAGAGCTGTTCTCTCAAGGTCAGTCCTCGAAAGAGCTCTCTCAATCCCGTCTACCTCACAGGGTGCTTGTTGTGGAGAGGGGAAGGGAAAGGGATTGTAAACCACTCCGAGACTCCTTCAGGTAGT